AGTTTTCCTTCAAATGAAATTTGTTCTCCATTATTTGTTCCTTCGTTAAGGTCATGTACATTTTTTTTTTAATTTTTAGTAGTTTTCGCGCAATATTGCGTACAATTTGTGCAATTTTAAAAAATTAAGATTTCCTCAAAAACCACCAAATTTTTCTTTAAACTTTTGGTAGGGATTGTGCTGAATGCACTCTATAAGATGAAATAAACGCCATATTGCTCTATTCTTTTGTTTTTTTAAAAATTACAAAAATTAAATGTTGTTGACTTTTCTCTCAAGTCGGTTATATTTACATTAGCAAAAATTTTCTCACATTGTTATATTTATGAGTACATGTGTTTTAAATAATGTCACATAAAGTTTCTCGGAAACTCAATCGTTTTCTGTCAAAGCTAACTCAAAATTTCGCAATTTCAGAAACGCTCAAACGCGATTTTCTCAAAAACGGCTCCGAATTTGTTCTTCAAACTTTTCGAAAGGATAGTGCTAATTGCACTCTTTAATATGTCGTAAAGTTCACATATTAAGCACACAAGCCAAGGATAGCATGTTTTCAAAATCTCGCACGCCTGGACCTGATAACGGAAAAGTGGATATATCCACTTGCCATATGTAGTCATTTACTTCCTGTAACACTTGGTGTATCCACACACCATTTTTGTGTGTCCTTGATACCTAAAAATCTATTGCCGGTAAAATTTCTCTGTCCGTCTGTCTATGTGTCAGTCCGTCCGTCCGTCCGTCCGACCGACCATCAGTCCGTCTCACTGCCTCTCCGTCTGTCTGTGGTCCGTCCTTCTGTGGTCAACGCTAGCGCCTAAACCGTTCAGCCGACTTTCTCCCAAATTGATATTACCAGATTAATTTCAACGTACTCAGGTATTTGGGAGTTTCAAACGGATATTTTGATTTTTGAGTGAGAATCATGTGCTTTCATTGTAGGCAACGTAAAATGCCAAACAAAATCCACGATTGTTTCTTTTTCAATAGAAGAAGCCCTTTGGAGCCGCGTGAGATAGCTATACGGGCCGCGGGTTGCCGGCCCGTGCACCATACAATCAACAGAAATAAAAGATAGCATTGCGAATTCCTCAAGCAGTGAGGTGGTATTTATCTACCAATGATGTAGCGCATGAACACGCAGGGAACGGCCGGCGCGGGGCGTCGATGCACCCAGGACCCCTGAGCTGAACTGTAGATAAAACTGTAGGGTGTCAAGGATGGTTAAGCTAGCATCGATCGGTATGGGTTTACGTGTTTGGCAACTTTGCACAATACAAATTTGACGTATTTGCACGAAATTTTGAGGAATAAAATATGTTTAATGATACCACATACATTGTGGCAGTATGAAGCGCGAACATGGCGCGCTCGGTAAAAAATGGCAGCTCTTCTATTGTTCCTCAAGCCCACGGCCTCCTCCAAAACAAGAACATGGGCAACAGTTTGTCTTTCATTTCCTGCAAGAGGGAGCGAAGGATAGGCAATGGAAGCATCGCCACAAATTTATATAGAAGTACAAAGGTCCTGAGGCGAGCAGTTCCGGATCCAAGGGAAGCCACCGAGCAAACTCCCCGACCCCTTACCCTCAAGTCAATTTTTTTTTCAAAATTTTATTCATTTTATTCAAAATAATTACCATATACAGATCTCATTGCATCCAAAGCAGTAATACCATTATAAACATTCTCAATTTTCTTTTCATTTCACGCTGACAATGTAAAAGTATATTATTTCAAAATTATTTAAAGAGGGGCCCGAGCTTAAATACCTCTGGGGCGAGCCGCCTGCGCGCGAGGAGCGTCCTCGCTCACGTGGCGCGGGCGGGAGGCGGATGCGAGCAGGTGCTCCGCGGTGGAGGTGGAGGTGGAGGCCGACGCTATCGCAAAAAGAGCTTCCGCCCATTATTCACGCTTGCGCGGCGACCACCTCCTCGCCACCTCCACCTCCGCCTCCGCCTTCCACTCCGCGCTGCCTCGCCTCGCCTCGTCTCGCCTCGCCTTGCCCGCCGCCGCCTCAGGGCCCGCGCTCCGCGTTGCATGCTCCAGAGCAGCGCACCCGGCTCGCCGCCGCAGTGGCAGCAAATACGCGAATTAAGGGCAAACTTTTTAAAATGTGAACCAAAGGTTTAAAATGCGGGCGCAATGTTTAAAATGTGGAGGCAATATTTACAATACGCAGGCAATATGTACAATACGCAGGCAATATTTGAAATGCGGAGGCAATGTTTGAAATGCGGAGGCAATGTTTGAAATGCGGAGGCCATATTTCCACGAACTTCAATCCAACATTTACTAATCGAGTAGCCTACGTCCACTCATGGTTAGACCACTCGAGGCAAAGAGAGATGTCATTCGACGCGTCTCTGTCACCTAGAGAGAAACTTTCTTTCTTTTTCAGTCACACAGAAGAGTATAAAAAAATCCTCTTAAAAAACGAGTGTTTTGTTTTTTTAAGAAACCAAAACACATGCTGGTCTATTTGGTGACTTACGGCAAAATGAGATACTGATCAGCAGCTCATCCGATTCGTGTCTACGCGACAAATGAATTGGCATAATGCCTAGCCGGTTCTTCCTAGAATATTCTAGAATAATTGTAACAAGTGTTTTTGATGGGCTTA